CGTCTAGACCCCAGGGGGGTTCCCTATTTGACTATGGATTCATAACCCTCCTTAAATCAAACAATCTCTACGGGGTCTAATCGCCAAAGACTTTCCACATTCTTATTTATTCGTTCACATGTTAATAAATAAATGGTGGGTGTATGTGTGACATCTGTGCAAAAATACAAACATTTTTTTTCCCAAACATTGAGGTCATGAGAAGAAGATGAGCATTGCCTGATCTTGTTGTCATGGAGACCATGGAAGAACACTATCTAGGGCTTACTTCAGGCAACCGGAGGGGATTTTTTTTTACTGTCATTTCAATCACAACTCTGTGACCGCTGTCTTTCCCTTTCAGTGAGTAATGACTACTGCCGTGGGCCTATGTGGATAAGAGGACAGCAACTTGTCAGTGAAACCCTTCAGCAAAAATAACTGGGAATGAGATGCTTTTCAGTTCACAGACATTTATTTAGACATTTTTGGCCCATACAAAGGCAAATAAAGAGTTTCATACCAAAAGGAAATGTATCCACTTTGAATCAAATGGATGTCACCCTCTAACAACTTCCATATCTAGATGTTTCATGCCAGTAATTAAAATGATGTCATTTTGGAATGAAACTCCTCAAAAGTAATTGTCATGATAAAACTGAAAGTGAGTACAAAAGGAAATCATTGCACAGTATTACAATGCTCTAGAAAGAAAATGGCATTAATGGCATGACAGAGAAATACCTTGTTAACCACTGAATCTCAAGAGGCACATATTGGGGTTGATTAGAGCCACTGGCTACGTTCACATGCACACAATACGCTGCTGAGTTATCACATTAAGGAGGTGGTTTGGTTTAGGAGTTCATTTTTAAAGTTAAGATGATTTCAATAATCAGGCTGCTTCATCTGAATCTATTTTATCTGACCATTCAAACACATAGCATATTCTGAAAAAGTGCATGAAATCTGATGTTTAATTAGGATTACTGAGTAGAAAATCAAACTATGCTGACATTTAACTGCTGATTAATTGTGTGCATGAACGTGGATACTGTGTGTATGCACTGAAAACAGCGTGAGATTAGCATGCAAACTTCCACCGTGGAATTTTGAATATCTCCTGCTCTGTGTGCACAACTGGGTCATGTTGTGCACACAGAGGACAAACTAACAGAGATGCTGGACAGGACAAATTAACACAGGAAATGATTGAGAGGGACCACAGGAGGCTGAAATAATATACGCAACATTTCATGGTTTGTTTTACATGAGTCACAAAAGACAGAGTAATTGTGCGCACATCCAATCCTGCTTTAGGTCAGGTGCTGGATAATAGGGGCCCATGCAGAAAGAAGAAGAAAATCCGCACACTGAATTAGAGCTCCCAGTGGGAGCTCTAATTCAGTGTGCGGATTTTCTTGCTAATCGCACACTGAATTAGAGCTCCCAGTGGGAGCTCTAATTCAGTTCACAGAAGGGAAAAGTATGTGCGGAGTGGCTGATGCAAAGCAGTAACTGACCATTCACTAACCCTGCTCCCCTCACTTCCTGTTGCCATGCCTGTAACTTCCTGTTCTTACACAGCCATACAGTTCATAATGATAATAATACAGAAACCTTCTTGAGTTAGTTGGAAACCCTGTCTCCAGTTGACTCTCCTTCTGAAACACACACACTTGATGGCTACAGTGAGCTGAACAAAAATTTAAACACAACACTTTTGTTCTTGCTCCCATTTTTCACAAGTTGAAATTAAAGAACTCATGCACTCAATAGATGTAGTTCTCTCGAATTTTGGTGAATTCTGCAGTACATCCAACCAGCCTCACAACTGCAGACCACGTTACTATCTTCATCTGTAAGATCATCTGGGACCAGCCACCCCAACAATGATTTGTTTGCGCAACTGAAGAATTTCTGCAGAAACCATCCCAGGGAAGCTCCTCTGTATGCTTGTCCTCCTCACCGCGGTCGTGATCTGATGGCAGTTTTTCATCATTACCTACATGTGCAGTTTTGAGGCTGATTGGATGTGCTGCTAAATTCAGGTAAACAACTTTGGAAACGACTTACGGAAGTGAAATGAACATTCAGTTCACAGGCAATAGCTCTGGTGGACATTCCTGCAGTTAGCATGCCAATGGCACGCCCCCTAAAACCTTACTACATCAGTAGCATTGTGTTGTGTAATCAAACTGCACATTTTGGAGTGGAATTTTATTGTGACCATCCCAAAGCACACCTGTGTAGTAGAGCTGCCCCTTAAAGTCAGAGATTTGAATCATCAGTCAGGGACCACTCAGCTGACTGTGATTGCTTCAAGTTGAGCAGTCTCTTTTTTGCCAGTCAGTGTGCTGTGCAGTGACTTCTGGGAAGGTTTTGCTAACCCAGATTTTGCTGCAGAGTGAGCACTCATGACTTTCAGGCAAATCTTTGGTACAGACAGCTGCAGACGTGCTGCAGCAGCACCAAGGAGGAAAAACTCTGCACTGTAAGGCTCTGAGATAACATGATCTTCTCTCTTCTGTATGGAAGTTCACAGATACTTAATACAACACAGCTTCTGGCTTTTGTTTGATATCTAGTGTTGGCAAAAAATTACGACGTTAGTGCAGTTAGCTTGTTAACTATATTACAGGAGTACCACTGTCACACTGAACATCCTGCTGAGCCCCATTCAAATTTCAAAACTTTATATGGGGGAAAAATGACTCATCAAATGTTCATATTAATCTGATTCGTCTGACATAATTTTGAGTCAGATACAGCCCTACTGTTAAGTAATCATGCTGTTTAATCAGCATCATTTTTTATATAACTGTCAGGTGGATGGATTATCTAAAATAGATAGCTCACTAACACGGATTTTAACACATTTGTGACCAATATGTATTGAGTGCATTAAATAAGTCTTGGCTCTTAAACTTAAACCTGTGAACATGCTAACAAAAATATGTGTTGCATTTTAGTTTTTGTTCAGTATAGATATATAAATAATGCTAAGTTAATGAGCAACATAAAAAGTCACTAAATACATAGCATTATCCTTGTATTGCAGTGTGGAGCTAGTTAGTTGATATGATAAAGAAAAATTAAAGATTAGTCTGTTTTTTTCATTTCCCAGATATGCTACGTTTGAAGCATACATTAGAGCAGGTAATCCATTCCTTACACTTTTGCACTTGTGGTTTCAAATACACTCTCATCTAAACTTTTTATATATAAGTATCGCTCCAAGCTATAGCCCCATGCACACTACAACATTTGGTGAAATCCAATACAGACCTGACATGGCCGGTTATGGTTGCTGTGATTGGACAATCATTGTTCAGGGAAGGGGTTGTCTGGGGTTGAGCCAACCTGGTACCATGCAGTGTTGGCTGTCGGGCCTTGCGACCTTGACTTTAAACATCAATTTATTTTATTTTTGACTTTCATCCATGAAAGCATTATTCACTACACTGAATCTTGGCATGAAATTATTTGACTTATTTCAGAGTAAAGAGTACTGGTCTGCCAGACTGAACTTCATTTTCTTGCTGGTTTCCAGAGCCAAAAAGGTTGGTAACCCCTGATTCAACGTCCTGTCAGGAAGCAGGTTAGAAAACAGAAAAGACAAAGAAAAACCCACTTTATATGTGCATGAAAGAAAACTATCACAGAAATGTTTAATCACAGCCAGGAAGAATGGGCCTCATTCACCAACATCTTTATTCTTACCATTTTTTTTAAAATTTGTTCTTAAGTAAGGTCCTAAAAAAGTAGACGTCACATTCATGACATGTTCTTAAACTGCAGAATTGTTCACACCTGTGTTCCTATAATGATGAATCCCAGTGTCCTGGTAACCTGAAAGTGTGTGCCAGTTGATCCTAATTATTGTAAATAAACACCCTGCTAATTGCAGGATCGTGTGCACACAGAAACAGAAGTTTAAGAATACAAAGAATTGTGGAGAGAATTAGAGTTAAGAACACCCAACCGAAAGTCTAAAGAGGATGGAGCAGCGGGCTCCAAGTGTAAAAACACTTCAATAGTTCTGAAGTGGAGGAACGTCTGCAGGAAGTGAACACCAAAGCCCTGTTTCCACCAAACACTTATGGTATGGTACCCTTGGAACCAAAACTAACTCTTCAGACATGATACCTAGACCCTCTGTCTGTTTAGCATTTCCATTGCAAAAAGCACTCTTAAATGTAGGCAGGGTTGACATCACTCACTGCTCTGTCCAGCACTTGCTGTATTTCCTCATCATTGATGGCACAGATAGAAGTCTGGACCTCATTTATTGTCCACAGAACGGGGTCATATGCTGACGTTTTCAGAACAAAATAGAACAGGCTGCAGTGAAAGTCTCTCTCCATGGGATATTTAAAATAGTGGGTTTGTGCAATTAGTTCCTCTGAGGCAAGTGCCAGGGTCAAGTGTTGCTGAGGCCCACGGGAACAATGCTTCGCAATGCTTTTTTTTCCTCCAAGTGAGGATTAGTATATATGCAGTTCACATAATCTGGTTGAAATTAATATATACTGTACTTTTAAACGCTTTAAGATCCGCTCATTACTAAAAGTGTATAACATCCAAGAGAGACAATAAAAACTGATGGAATGGTCAAAGTTGTCACATTGAAATTTAAGGTGTGTTGATGGGTTCACATCGTCAACTCATGCATTGAGTAAAATTAAAAGTAAATGATCCGCCTTAAAAGTTGCTGGCAGTCGGCCCAGTGAATTAAGTTTTTTTCCCCTCAGTCTACAGCTGCTGCAAGAGGAAGCAAAACATCCTTCCATGTTATAGTTAACTAATGTATGTAGAACTTGACACGGTGTTACAAAACCAGCCACAACTCAGCTCTTAGACAAATTGACCATCCTCTATTGACCAATCAACGGACTGCAGTGTTTCTAGCTCCACCTTTTAGTACCAGATCTGTGTGTTAGGTACCCCAACAAAGGGGTGACCAAAAATGGGGATGGTAAGGAACAGTTCCATTGGTACCATCCACAACTTTTTTGTTTTGTCGGTAATGGAAAAAATGCATACTGAACTGAATCGAACCATACTGGACTGCTTGGTGGAAACAGGGCTCAAATGAACTGTCATATTTAGTAGTGTCAGTAGTGGATATAAATAATATCCACACAAAAAATATGCACGGGTTGTTAAAAATACAACATAATCAACCACCCCAACCTGACCCCACCTGCAAAGTGCCAAATGTATGTATTCAGGATTCCCACACATTTTTAACAATGAACTTTCAAAACGTTGCCATAATATTTCACCCTGTTTCCATGACTTTATTTAAATGTGGAGGCCTATATAGCGTTGCGGTCATATATTATTAAACACACTTCACAGACATTTGCAAATAAGCAAACTGCGCTTGCTGACTTTACTTCCTTGTTAGCCAATATACCAGGCTGGCACATACGGTTGCTTTGCAAAATGTCAAGGCCATGCCCCGTTTTAGGGAGTAGAAAACCAAAGATTCTATAGATATCAATGCAATTTGACATGTGTTTGGATTAGAATTTGAAAAGTTTGTAGTTTGTTTTATGGACACATCTGATAATTGTTTTGTGACCTTGTGCTGTGTCCACTCAGTCTTTCCCCTCTTCAAGTACATCAATGACCCAACACAGTGGGTGGATATTGCTTATCTGAACATCTGCACAGGTATAGATATACAAGTTTACACGTGTGTCCGGATCACGCTACCTGGTGATTCGCTCAAAAAGTTTATTCGATTGAATCACCAGGTACTGTTAGGGGAAGTGCTGTCTGTAAATAGCCAACCTGTTAATAAATGTAGTTGCAGTTGTCAGTGTGATGCTTCTGTACTGTGTGACAGTACTGCAGCAGCCTCCCAGCTAACATTAGGTATTCATCCATAGTACCTATTACCAGCATCATTTAGCCACACTAACAGTGAATATTAATGTATCTTGTGTGCCTCAGATCTCAGTTTGAATGCCTTAATTAAGCTGCACAACAGCTTTTTCAGCATTTTCCTGTTTTCTCTACTGATGTGACAGCACATTTCTTTCCCCCCAGAAGAGGGTGTGGCCTTGGCAATGATGCAATGCTGGTCTGGTCTAACCCTGGATAGAGATGAGTACACTAGTGCTTTCTAAGGTGTAGGTGTGTGTGTGTGTGCGTGTGTGTTTGAGAGACAGAGTGAGGGAGAAAAAAGTTGAAGACCGACTATTTTACGCAATGCTTTTATAAGTTACTAATAACTTACTTGGCATGTCTCTTTTTGTCCCGCCTCGACCCACCAGTGATATTTTCTAAGTTATCAATCACCAATTATTAGATGGCATGATACATAACTGATGTGAGTTGAAATGTCAGTGTAGTTTATTTATAAGAACATAATCCTTTTTATAAAGTAATGCAAATAAATATCAAATTTTATAAATGATAAAAAGATACTATTATTTAAATCCTAAAATATTATACAACTATGAGTGTGCATAGATTCTGTTCTTACCAAACCTAACCTTACCTACTACTATGTAAGTAGGTTTTAAGAAGAAATTTCGTGGTGAATGAGGCCCAATGTTCCAAACTCAACCTTGCAGAGAACAATGTGGGATAAATCAAAATACTGACAAAGCAATATAATAACTGTACCGTATGGATGGCTGAGTTTGGACACTGGGAAAACACATAACATAAAAACATGTCAACACAGGAAGAAATCCATTTCTATCATTGATACAACTTCATGTTGTTCCCTTCTAACCCTGGTGCTGGTACACCTGCTAACATAGCGGTTCAAAGTGTTTGTTCATGAGCTGATCTCTGATAAACTTCCTTGTCTTGCCTCTACCCCAGCTGTCTCTGTATCTCTCCTTTGGCTTGATGTTGCAAAGCAGTAATACACAAGGCAGGTAACAATGTTTGTGACACGGCGGGTGGTAAATCCCCAAAATATGAACCAGTAAAAGAGATTTTTTTTTAAAGTAGAAGACCTTCGACTGATGCTTGGCTGGCAGGGTAAACCACCTTGCCAACAGCAGCAAGGTTTCCTCAGTGCTGTGGGTGGTGGCTGGTGTTTTCCTGTTTCTCTTAACAAGACCAGCAATATAATATGTAAGTGCTTTGGTGCAAACTATGCAGATCAGTCTTGATTTATGGAATATAATATCTTTAGCATGTAGACAAAAAACAAAAAAGCCAGGAGCAGGAAATAGTTTCTAAACCATTGTGTGGTTTAAGTGAAGTGAGGCAGAGGAATGGGCTGGTCAGCGACAGAGAGCACCCACGTTCCCACAAGCCTTAAGGATGTGAGAGGTCAGATGGCAGAGGCAGGGTTCCCGCCACCACGATGCCTTATTGTCCAAGGCCCAATCAGTCGCCCACATCACTGTCCTGGTCTCCTATGACCCACAGGAAGTGGAAGCTGAGCGCCAGCAGGGCGGTGCCCAACAGGTCACCCAGAGCTGTCAGGTAAGGGATAGAGAAACTGTCTGGATCTTTGCCGCTCCGCCACATGGAGTGCACCATCCAGTCTGCTATACACAACAACAGCAACACCTGGAAGAGAAAGAGAGGACTGACTGTGGCTTACTAATATGAGTACTGCAGGAGACCTACATGGTCATTTCTCTCAGAAAGAATAGTCAACACAACATGGGTCGGCACAGAGCAGGAATTCAATTATCTATTTGAAACTATGGATTATTTAAGTCAGGATTAATGTAATAAAGGAACAGTTCAAGGTTTGGGGAAATGAGCTTCTTCACTTTCTTGCTGAGAGTTAGTTCATGAAATCAATACCACTCCATGTCTGCATGTTAAATATGTCCCTGGAGCCAGCAGCCAGTAAGCTAGCTTAGCACAAAGACTGGAAACAGTAACATTCTGGGGCCATCTTCACAAAGCTTCCTAGTACAAAGAGTTGCTCCTAGTGACAAAATTCCAAGAAAATTCTTAGGACTGTGACATTTTCTAAGAGTTTCCCCTTAAAGTTAAGACTAGGTCCTTCTAAAGATAAAGGTTATTCACAAGGCATCTTAGACCTTAAAGGGGAAGTTCCGTTTTTTACAACCTGGATCTTATTTCTGGCATTAAATACATAGTGCTCAGTGACAAAAAGTGAGAAACAGAAAGGTGAACGTTTCGGTGGTAAAGAGGATTGTCTTTACGAATTGCCTCTGTTTTTTTTTTTTTTTTGCAGAGGTTAGTAGGTCAGTATAAATGACCCAGATGATGAGGACAAGCAACTCTAGCAATTCATAAAAACATATTGGTGAAATGAACGAGTTTCGCAGCAGATAATGTGTTATTTAGAGCCTCATTGTCGGTTCCCCCGATCATTCCCACTATATGGATGTACGCAGCTCTCGCGGATCTAAATATCTTCCGAGGGACTCCAAATGACACCAAACTTATCTGGGTGAGTAAACAACTGTATTTAATGCCAGAAATAAGGTCCAGGTTGTAAAAAACGGAACTTTCCCTTTAAAAGAGTTCCTAAGGTGAAAAACTGTTAGAAGCAGAGAGAGGCTCGAGAGTTTCTTAAGAAGGGGAAAAAATTGTGGAAACACAAAGATGTTGGAGAAATATTCTCCAAACGCTGATTGACAATGAGTAAATAAAATGTTACAGATTAGATTGTGCAATGATAATATGTGGTTGATTAGGGATACGCACACATTTCCCACCTAATGCTATAATGCCAGACATAAAATGATCATTATACTTAGATATCTGGAAAACAGGAAAAATGCAACAGTGCAACAGTGATGACTTGAGTCTGTTTCAAACTTCCATCAGCAGAGTGACCACACTAACAAAGACAACACTTTCACAGTCAGCAGTTAGTTTAGTTTCCACTGGGTGTTAAGGTCATGCAATTAATCGTCTGGTGATCGCGATTACGATTTTGAGGTCTAACGATTTCAAAATGAATGAAATCGAGGGTAAATGATTATTGGTCACCTGGAAATGTTATTTTGTCTTCTACGGAAGCAGCGCATGCACAATACCGCCCCCTCCCTTCCTCTCCTCTATTCACTCCACGAGCCAGTCAAGTTGGTGAACTACGAATAATGCAAGGGGCAGGTGAACTCCGCCGTGCGCTTTACAGAGAGCAGAGGAGAATTGTAAACGCACGACCATGTAGAGACAGAAATGACATGCCGTCATGTAAACAATTTAAGTCATCACGTGCGCCGCATAATCGTTATTGACGCAGTAATAGTTCTTGACACAGCAGAGGTTGACTATTCATTCACTCTTGTGCAACATTAAACAGACAGCAGGTCCAAATAATTATATTTATTCACAAACTAGCAAAGCAAACCAAAACACACAAATTCTAACTAACTATATACAAGCTTGGTGTGTATTTGTGTGTGTGTGTACTTGTGTGTGTGTGTCTGTGTGTGTGTGTGTGTGTGTGCGTGTGTCTGTGTGTGTGTGTGTGTGGGAGGGGAGGTAGATAGCTTAAATCAATCACTGACAATGACTTCGGAGGTGCATATTTGAAATGTCTCAACTATTGGATGGCATTCATTGCATGCTTACAAAGTAACATTTCTGATTGATCAACTAGGTACTACAGTAGTAGGCTAGTAGGTGGGCAGAGTGGTGCCTTTTTTAGCAACCAAGTACGTCGCCACCATCGTGAGGATTTGCCACTGTGACTGATCACTACTCACTAACATATCATGGTACCTGTGTACCACTGTGAACATCATCATATGCCAAATTATTAGACATTGCTGAATCTTAGGATGTATTGCCATGAAATCTGGTACACACATGTATGTCTCCTTCAGGATATATTGGAATCATCTTGATCCCCTGACACTTCATCTAGTGTCATCAGTTAAAAATGTTTATGACGAAATAGCTGCAAAACTAATGACATTCCCATCACCCTCTACTGTACTTTGTGGCTAAACTGTGAGGGTGACCATGGTAATTATTATACTCGCTAATCATCAGAATGCTAGCACTGCCACTGTACACGTTAGCATGCTGATGTTAACATTTTTCTTAAAGCACCAATGTGCAAAGTACAAGAACAGCATCACAGAGCTGCTAGCATGACTGTATACTCTTTTTAAAGGGATACCTTGACAATTTTTAACCAGGTCTGTGTCACAGGAATGTGGGCAATGTTTGCAAATGAATGGTGTCAAGGCACCTGCGGTGGCGCCAGCTCTCGAAGTTTCCCGCCTGTCTGCTAGCCAAAGTCATCCAGCATATTTTTGTTCAAGGCACAGGTGGGGAGTTCCCAGCAATGTTGGCATAGAAGCAAACCAACACACTCCTGACACTGTGGTGACACAGACCTGGTTGAAAATCAGCAAAGTATTCCTTTAACAAGGGTAATAATCATGGTTAATGTTGTCCAATGAATCACTGAACTCATATGTTGAAGAGATATGACAACCCCTGACTGTAATTAGGGTCCGGGCAGCTAAGCTGCCAGGACACTATTGTAATCCTAGGTATTCTTCTTCTTTCTTCTTCTGAGGAAATCATACTTCCCAAGGGTGAAAACTCACCAAACTTTGCACAAAGGCCCAGTCTCATGCCAGATATCCTCAGCTGTAAACTCAAGCCAATAGTCCTGATGGTGGCGCTACAGCAAGCGTCTAAAGTTCAAAACTTTGAAAATTCATAACAAATCAACCATACGTGCTACAACTTCACAACTTTCAGCAAACTGTAGCCCCAATACTGAAGAAACTTTTGTACATTTAAACCTATTAAAAATTACGAAGTTCATCATTCTGATTTTTCAAAAACTGTAAAACTTCTTAAACCTATCTCCTCCCACAGTTTTTGCTCAATTGACACCAAACTTGCTACAGAGCATCTTCAGACTGTCCTACAAAAACTACGTTTCTCAGATTTTTGATTTATCAAAAATTGAGCCTACAGTGCATCAAAATGTTTGACTGTAAACAGTACTGTAAACATATACATGCAAATTCTTGCTAAATAAATCTTCAATGTTCATGAAAAAAATGACAAAATTCTAGAGTCATGGTAGATGATGTGTGGCAAATTTCAGAATTTTATCTCAAAAACTGAATTTTTGACAGCATTTTGAATTTTTCTCTAATGTGAACAATTGGAGTCAATGTAAAAATGGCAATTTTAAACATAAGTTTTTCACTTATGGAGCAAATCAATCACTGTTGCAAACAAATTACCAACATCTCCATGCTGTCTAAATGCAATACGTGTATTTTCAGATTTTTGTCTTAATAACTGAATTTTTTACAGTGGTTTCAAATCTGCCTTTCCATGCACGGATGGCTGCTTTCCTACACAACAGTAAATGGCTTACTCAATTTGTGAAGCCACTGTTAAGTTGCTACTTGCCAATTAGCTCAGAGTGGTAGATGACTGTCTTAGGTTCCAAAGGTTGCGCGTTCGAGCCTCAACTGGTGCAGAATCCACATTGTAATGTAATCATCTTCTTGTGCTCCAGCTTATTGCTTAAAATTGCCTGAGTGTGACTGATCACTGTGCAGCATCTTCAAGTCTTTTTTCTGCTAGAAAATCTGCCTTCGTGAAAATAAACCAAACTTTGCACAAAGGTCCAGTGTTAATACTTGACTGTGGGTTCTCACTTTGCACATAGTTCAACTAGTTCAGAAGACCTGGTTGATGTAGAGTGGCCATGTTAATTTAGTGATTACTTAGGTTATGTAGTGTGTTGTGTGGATTTGTGACGGACAATTTGAATAATTATGGTACAGACAATTCTACTGATGGACTCTCATGTATTTGCCTCCTCTTAATACTCTCCTCCTATTGCTGCTCAAAATGCCATTTCTGCACACTTCTCCATTTAGCTTAGCTATTAGCCTCTATATAGAGTTTCTGTGCATCTTTTGGCATTAATTTTCTGTAAATAATCAATCATGTTATGTTGATGTCAACTCATCCATGTCTCTGATTACTTGGGAGGGGGGTTACATGAGCCTTATGCATATGCAATCATAGTTTGGTCAAGTATTGTGCAGGTAATTTCTTTTATTTGGTATTCTATGTGACCGGTTCATCTATGTTCTGTTGGCACCTAAATGCAGCGGGCATCTTTTTCTCTAAAGACTTTGGCTGCTATATTGCTGTTACCCTCAGCAAACCCTGAACCTGCCATTTGGCTAACCCAGTCAGTGCTCCCATTAAAATGCTCACTTTCTGTGGCTCTGTTAGACAAGCACACCAACAGTCCCTGTAGCTGCTCCTTCCATGCACCATACTTCAGTTCTAAATCTGCTCCCCCAAAATTAAGACACCCATGGGGCACCGGGATAGACATCATTTTAAAAAGGAAAAAAAATCCTGTGGATTGGTATTTTACTCTAGCTCCGATCTTTTCGTAGCTACTAACAAAATCTACTCCTGCTCCTGACCACTCGTAGTGCTTGTGTAAATTTAGTAAAGCACATAAATATTGCTTGTCACTATTGGAAATTACAATTTTAACTCGTATTGCGCTCTGTTATGTACACAATACACAGATGCCTTTGAAACACGTAATCTAAACATGACAAAATATTAAA